GAGGTTGTTGATTCGCGAAATCTGGTGGTGGGCAGTAACTGGCAAACCAGGTCGAGGGAAGTATACTTTATTTTTATTGAGAGAGCCCCAGCTGTGTATCACGAAAACTGTGCTTTGCGCTACGCATTGGGACAATCCGGTGGGACGAGAATGCCTCCCATTCAAAGGTTTACGTCATTTCTCCGGTAAAGAATTTACACTTTTCGCCGTGTTGTTATGTCATCGTTCTTATCTCGCGGCGAACGAATATATATTTCGATTTAGAGTAACTTGGGACTCTGCTGGCCGAAGATTAGGAAATACATTCAGTAGGGCCGCCTGTAAGATCTACGAATTCAAGAGCGCAAGAAACTACAACTAGATAAATAGTCTTATTAAATAAGTTAATAAGGATTTTCTGTTTTTGTTAATGAAAGATCTTTTCCACATCTCTTATTATACTTTCGTATTTCCTAATTGTACGAATTGTTGATTCATTTCTTGCGAAGAGATGTTAACTTATTATCAAGAGTTTCTAATTTTTCTTCCAATGGTATGAATCTTCTACTCGGCTTGTCCTTTCCGGAGATCTTTGGAGTATTTTCTGGAAAATATTATTTCTCGTTTCTGACAAATAAATATACCGAAAAAATGATTGCCTTATGATCGATCAATATCTACTAATTGAAATGAGTTCCTTTTTGTAACAACTAATTCTGCACTTAAATGAAAACTGTTCCACAATACACACTTTAAACAACTTCTCCTTATTGCACAAAAGTTGCAAACTGCAAAACTGTACTTCGAGTCAATTCAAAGAGACAAACATATATTCAGATCAGAGATGAGTCTTCTCTTTCAGAAACTTTTTAATCGCGTTATAGGGTTATAGAGTCCTTCTTTTTTTTTTTTTTTTTACGTGGAGGAAATCTTCATAAGACACTTGAGTCTTTTAAGGGAAGACTCAGGTAGTGTCGGATTTTTAACGACTAAAACCTCCACTATGGCCGTCTTCCGCACATTGGGAGAGCTCCGGGACCTTTTTATACACACAGAGCTCTCCCATGCTGTTGTTCTAAAGGACAATGTCATGCTCGAGAACCCTGGACTCTTAGATTAACAGTCTGATGCTCTACCGACTGAGTTATCCTCACCGCAGGGTTATAGAGCCCTACGACGAGACGTCTGTCGACTTATCGGAGTACGCGTGATGTCGAAAGTAGCGAGATTCTCTCGAGCTGACGAGAATTTGCCGGGTGCTGTCAAATTCTCGTAATAACTAGAGATATTCAGCCTACATAGTACAGAAGGGACAACCCTGAACCCTCAGATTAAGAGTCTGATGCTCTACTGAGTTATCTCCACCTCAGAGTTATAGAGTCCTACGACGAGACGTCTGTCGACTTATCGGAGTACGCGTGATGTCAAATTCTCGTAATAACTAGAGATACCTACATAGTAGAGAAGGGACAACACGATGGGCAAAGATGATAGATCGTCGTAGATCAGAGAAACACGCTTTCTGACAGAAAACGATGGTGCGAGTGCGTGGAACTCGTTTGGCATGTGCCACCGAGGGACGTCGAGCGAAAAGCGGTGACGCCAGCGGGTTTCATTGCTAGATTCCTCGACTAAAAAAAGACACGGCCGATTATTACACACGACGACGACGATTTACGCAACAGCGTGGAAATTAGCTGGTTGACGTCACGTGATTACGCGGAACACGCGTCATCGTCGAAACTCTTATCGAAACGACGCGGGCCTAATCTATCACGTTGCAATGAACGCGCGAGCTGAAGATCGAGAGTAAGTGTGGAAGGCTATTTGACGGGAGTAGAAAGCACGAACTCTAGTCGCTAGAGAGACTAACTTACGTAAAAGCGTTAGAAATTGAAATATCTCGTCGGCTTCTGATAGAAGCGCGGTTAGAATACAAAGTGATTCTTGAAAGAGTCACTGTCAGTAAGTTGCCAAACGCGTGTGTCGGCCACTGGCCGGGGACTCGGAGAAAGCTTCGTTCGGAGAATACAAATTTCCCGATGCTTGGTTAACGGGCCAGGGATCGGGGGGCGGGGGAGAGAACGTGAGGAACGCGTAACGTGCACGGGTTACGATTCGAGCGCGATCGAAGCCGCACGCACTCATTTGCATACGCGTAGCAATAGCAGGGTGAAAGTACCCGATCACCTCGTCGTGATCTAGCTTGGACACAAAAAGCCTGGACACGACGCGTTTCTCGTCTCTTCTCCTTGTGCTTGGAGAAGCTCAGACAGGATACGTACCGGTCGATTCCACAGTTGGAATGTAAATTATATGGAAGATCGTGAATTGTGTTCCATTGGCCGTTATCGTGCCGTTCGAGATCACTCGAGCCGCTTTGTGAGGCGAACCTAAATGAGGCAACCCTTTCAGAAACGAACGCGGCTAGAACTTGAAGCCAGTTTTAGTGAGAACACACGATGCTAATCCCGAGATTTCGGTTAAGGTCTTCATGATTGAGGTAATACCTGGGATCACGCTTTCCACATTTTCCACGTTATCGTTATAATTGTCATTCTTATCGAGCTGCGCATTAAAACGTAGTAGTAGGTACCGCGATAAATCATTTCTAATTGTATAAACGTACGTGCTCGGGACAGAGGGTGAGATTTATAGGACGCGATCTCCTTGGTTTCGGCAGTGCGTATCGTGTCCGAAAATACATATCCATCTCGCATATATCGGCCCGAATGAATGCTAATTTATATTCATCTTCTCTTTCAGATCGCTGTGTCCGATGCGTCCGGTGTGCACACCGAAGAATGCGAACATGTAGCTCGATCGACTGCCACCAGCCGCGTGACCATCAGGAGGAATCAAATTCCGCCGCAGTAACAGTGGACATACTCGGTCTATAATTAAACTATATCATGCTGACGGTGTATCCCCTGAATGTGAACTCACTCTCGCGCGCCGACTGAGACACTCTCTGCGACAAAACCTTCCTCTCTCCCTCCTCCTCCTCCTCCTTCGTCGTTGATTCAATGCCTGGTAAAAGAACCTATCTGACTGTCTAAACGTCTCGATCGAGAACGAGATCGATCCGGCAAAACAAAGATCGAAAGAAGGAACAAAAGAGAATCGAAGGATGATGGGGGGACAGGCAGAGGGAGCGAAGATCGCGTGGACAGTGGCTCGACTTGCGTCGTGGCCGACGTGGAGAGCGAGATTCTTGGGCCAGGTGGTGGCCTGAGATATGCCAACAGCGGCAGGCTCGGTGATCACGGAAGCATCGTCAACGATATCGTCGTCACGGTCGTCGTCGAAGCTCGATACCGAAACGGCGACGTCGAGCACTGGTGGTGTCGCTGGCCGACAGCTGGCGATAGAAATCGAGACGATCGAGCGCCGGGTCTGCGCGACCCGACGCGACCTCTTCGTGCCCGTGACCGTCGATCCGCGGCCCAGCCGGGCCGTCCACTGTCCCGACCTGAACGCCTGCCTGGTGAACGAAACTCGAACAGGCCGCGAGCAGCAGGTCGACTGCCAGGCGATTCACTTTGGCTACGCGATCCCGGTGAACGTGGTCCCGCTCGAGACCGATCCACGGCTCGCCGAGCTAGTCTTGGACCACTCGACCGAGTTGAGCAGACGCGCCGCGAGCTTCCTGCTCGAGCACCATCCTCAGCTGCGTCAGCAGCAGCAGCAGCAGCAGCAGCAGCGTCAGACACAGCAGGAACGTTGCCCGAGCATGGCGGCCACCGCGAAGCACGACCTGCGTCAAAAGTTCCCGACGGAGACGTCGACGTCCGGCGACGAGGACATCGCCGCGATCGCCAAGCAGATCAGCGATCACGCGGAGGCGATCTATCAGACGTGGAAGAGCCGCGGACTAGCCCCTACCGAGATACTCAACTGCCACAGCAATGCCACGGCCGCGGACAAATTTGGTAGCGCTCTCACGCCGACGTCCGCGTCCAACAGTCCGAACAGCACCGGGAAAGTTACTCCCACGGCTGCGAGCCCCACCAGCGCGGTGGACATATTGAGTCAAACGCCGAGTCTCGACAACGGCAACTTGGAGAAGCTAGTGAACAATTTCGTGGTGGAGGATAAGGCTAGGTTAGCCGCGTCGAGGCAGAGGTCGCCGTCGAAGACCCTCCCGTCGTCGATACAGTTCGCGTTGGAGAAGTTCGAGAAGAACTCGATGCAGCAGCAACAGCAGCAACAGCAACAATCGCAGACTTCTCCTCTGAAGAACAGCAACCAGATTGGCAACCAAGTGATAAAAGCGAAGCAGGGGAACGTCTTGCTGTCGCCGACGTCCCCTTTCGCGAACAAGCCGTCGCAGATAGTGAAGCCTCAGGTGTCCACGAAAACTCCCGGTGCTCACCACCGTGAAGTATTCCTGGAAACCATAGAGACCACC